TTTTTTTTTTTTTTTTTTAGGATTTGTTAGGGAGATTTTAGTTTGGTTTTATGTTCTTGTTTTTTATCGTACAGAATCTTTGATCTTCTAATAAAATCAGCTTCTCAGATTTGATATTACGAACAAAATTCTCTGTTTCTCTGTTTAATTGTTATACAAGAATCAGCCAAACTAGTAGCCGTGTTCTAGGTTTTCTATGTACTCTGCCATGGCGGTTTCCGCCTTGTTCTTCCTCTGCTTCATTTACCTAAATCGCAAGAATCCCAGTCGAGAAAATTCCTCTGTTATACGGCGAATTTGGCAGAGACTCCGCCGGTGATCTCGCTTCCGACCGACACCGTTCCTTGATCTCATCCTTCATTATTTGACTCGACCGGCACTCCTGGCTACAGAACGCCGATTCCCCTCTGCAAAATTCGTCATAACCCATCAGAATTTCGATCCGACAATCAATCAAGTTTAGAAAAATAGGTTTTGGGTTTTTTTTTTTGTAATTACCTGTACATGTATATGTCTTTTCCCTCTAGATTTTTCCCACACGAGTGGCAAGATCGGAGGAAATCGGGGGTCCGACGCGGCGGAGGTTGATCGACGGGTTTCAACGACGGAGGGGGTTTCCGGCAACACCCACCAGCGACTAGACCGCCGTTGTAGTAGACGCGTGTGGATGATTCAACAGGTCCACGTGTTGTGACGTAAGTGTAATTCTCATCTTCCACGTTGTCGAGTTCGTCGTCTTCCTCCGGTGAGAACGATCCACCGACTAATCCGATAGGGATCGGAACAGGGCGGCGGGGGGAGGTCAATTTAGGGCTGAAGACGGCGTGTTTGACTAAAATTTCAGATCCACGGACGGCGGATGTGGAAGTGTCGAGGGCGGCGACGATGCCGAGTCCGACGCCGGCAGTGTAATTTTTGAGATTGGGTCTGGGAGAAGGGGAGAGGTCGAAAGGGGAAGTGGGGCTGCTGGGAGCGCCGGCGTCGAGGAAGGAGGGTCGGCAGCGGGAGACTAGGAGCTCCGACAGCCTTCCGATGACCGGACGTTGCCCTTTGGCCAACATGATTGAGAGGGAGAGAAATGGAAAGCTGAAGCAGAGAGTGGAGAGATGAAGGGGAAATGGGGATTGTACTTATAAAACTGGAAGACATCAAATAAAGTTAAAATGGAAAAAAAAATTATAATAAAAAATAATAATAAAAAGGAAATTAATAATTGCATCAAAGGTTGCTTTTTTGACATAAAATAAGGGAGTGGGTGAGCTGCCCCTGGTTTTGGTTTTACAATTATTTGGTTTTTTTTTTCTTTTTTCTTTTTAATCATTAGTTTCCCGTGTTTTGTTCTCCTCTCCGACGAAGATCCACCTCACATACAGGCCAACCGTAGCTGAGCTGGCACATAGTGTAACGATCCAGATCCACCGTCTGCAGATATTGTCTTCTTTGGGCTTCCCCTCAAGGCTTTAAAAGCGTCTACTAGGGGAAGGTTTACACACTCTCATAAATGGTGGTTTGTTCTCCTCCCCCAACCACCCCCCTTCGGTTGTTCACACTCTTATTGTGATGTCCCACATTGGTTGGGGAGGAGAACAAACCACCATTTATAAGGGTATGGAAACCTTCTCCTAGTAGACGCATTTTAAAGCCTTGAAGGGAAGCTCGAAAGGGAAAGCCCAAAGAGGACAATATCTGCTATCGGTGGATCTGGATCGTTACACATAGCTTGGTGTCTAACTCTGATACCATTTATAAAAGGCATCCGTTAGCGAGAGGTTTCCACACCATTGTACATAATTTGGTGTCTAACTCTGATACTAATATGAGTCATAAGAATATGTTTTGTCTCACTCACATACATTCTATAAAAAAATTCCCTACAACATGGTCATGTTACTCCAGCTTTTAAGAGTGAAGACTATTGAATCTTTCCAACATATTTTGTCTTACTCTCGTTCATATTAGGAAAATTTACAGGTCACCAAACATAAAATTATCCATAAGAATAAACGGTGGATTTCCTACCAAAAAAAAACAAAGTGCATCTTGTTGGTATTAGCAGTAACTTTCAATTCTTTTAATATTTTCTTAATCATCATATCCTTAGGATCACTCTCACATGCACAACTTACAATTTTACACCTCTGTATCAGTGTAGACCGACTACAAACTATATCTTCTTTAAAATGGTTTATTTAACCACGTCGAATCAGAAGAAGATAAGATAAATAAAGTTTGTTCGTTTATTTTATTGGAAATAATAGTCCCAAATCCAAATATTGTATTGGAAGATTGGGCACTTTGGGTTTGTTGTGATTTTTATTTTATTTTAAGAGCATATTTGATTTGGGAATATTTTATAGAATATTATGGTCTTGAAATTACATGTGCATTTCATAATAAACTAATAATTAATATTTTAAAATTAAAATAATTAGAAGTAAATAAAAATTACTTAAAATTTGAAGAATAAAAAATGGAAAAATCAAATTAATAATAAATAATAAAATAATAAAAAGTAGTTTTCAAGGTGGCAATTATTTTCATGATGTCATTGTCCAATGATTATGACTTCCTTTTATTTTAAAGGGTGGACCCACAATGAGATTCGGTTTGTTTTAACAGGATGTGCGACACGTGGCGCGAATCGGAGGTGTGAGTACAGGTGTTGTTCAATGGAGCGTCTGTAGTGGAACCGTCTCACATCGTCAAACCCGACGACAATAATGGAAGGCGATTACTCAGACCACTGTGAATGGGCTAAGCGACACATCGTCCAGAGCCCACTGCTATTAAAAGGGAGGCCCCATATTCTTCGGCATCGAAAACGACAGGTCGGAACTGGAGCCCTCCGGTTCCTAATTACCGTTGTGTCCTTATTCAATGGAAATTACGCTTCTACCCTTACTAATTTCCAAAATTCCATTATCCAACCCCCGCGTGACACCTCGCTACTTTCGTTTTCTCTACTTTAATCTTTATGACGATCTTGACCCTATTTGAATATGACGTTGAATGTGGTTTTGATTCATTCATGTACTCGTTTTTTATTTTATTTTAATAAAAGTAATTTATTAATAAGAAAATAATATTTCTTAATTAAATAAATCAATTAATTCCTCCACAATTTTATCATAAATTAAGAATTAGTGAGGTGTCTTAATCATGAAGAAATTAATTTAATTAATAAAATTGGGTGAAAGAGATACATAAATAGCTTTATAACCATTAAAAATAATTGAAGGAAATTAAAATAAATAAATAAAGTTTACCAATATCTTGGGAGAGAAAAAGATCTCATTGATGTATGCACAATTAGTCAAACCTTTTTATTCATTTTTTATATAATATTATTCTCTTAATTAAAAAATCACAATAAATTATGCAAATTACAAATATACCCTTGGACTTTCAAATTAGTTGCACAATGGTTGAGTTGGATTAGGTAAATTGGTCAATTATTCGAAGGTTTATAAACTTGTTTAATCGGTAGCGTGGTCGTTAGTCTCTATTTTCAATCTAAACTTTCTTTTTTAAAATGATGTCTCTCCACCAAACAAACTTGCACTCGAACGCTTAAATGTGTTGAGTATTGAAAGTTGTTGATGGTGGTGAAGCAGTAGAAAGCATCATCCATCACGATGCAAACCAATAGTATCGTTGGTTCGTACTCACCTCAACAACATCACGTTTTATTGTGTTGTTGGCCATGACCATCACCAATCCATTATTTATCATTCGAATCAACCAACATTTGTAGAGTCCCCGACCGTGACCATCACTAGTCCATTGCCAGCTAAATTTTAATGATATTTTTTAATAAAATATTAAATTTAATGATATTTTTATTAATTTAGCCGATGATTAACCCATAAACTTGGGCCTGTAGCACCGACCAATTGAGTTTTGGATCGGCCCATTAAGCCCTCGGCCCAACATCCTTTAATTGGGTCAATTAGTTTTTTAAACATTTTTTAAAAAATTATTATTTGAAAAGTGATTTAAAGAATCACTATAAAATCACTTTATTTTAATTTAATATTAGAATCACTTTTAAGGCATAGGATAACAAAGAATATTTGTGATTATAAAATCACTTTTTTTTTTTTTTTAATTGTAACCAAAAAATATAAATTTTTATTAAAACTATTTTTCTACAAAAGTTTTATGAAAAGTAATTATTTTTTAAAATTATAAAAAATGCAATAGAAATAAACCAATTAAAAATATGATGTACTCGAGAGGAATGGATCAACAAAACTATCTTTCCATATAGATCTTCATGACGTGAGCTAAGAATTTTTTTCGTTTAGATCTGCCCCAAATACTCTATCGTTGTCGGTTTTTCGTTTTAGTCATTATATAGTGAAAAAACTCGCTCTGTTTTAGACGAGAAATTCTAATGATTCATTTATAGGTACAACAAGTTTGCCCAGGTTTTATGAACAGAAAGACGATATGGTATAAGATCGCCTTCAAAATCTCCACTATCAAACAACACTATCCCCTTGGATTTACGGGGCCTTAATAGATCATCAACGGTGACCCATCATGCGTTCATTTCCAAACGATCTCTATACACACAGGTTATAGCAACGTTGATCATGTCTATAATTCAAGACCCTTAAGTTGGTATAGAACCTCAAACCTTCCCCAGGTGGCATCTTTTGATCTGCACGGCTCACTACAGGGGCAATAAAAAGTGTCGAACGGTTCTTAAACTTTTAATTTTACGTACCAATCACATTTTTTTACCAATAATTCAAATCCTTTTTACTAAAAAGAACATAATTTTTTTTTTTTACAAACAATAATTACCATTTACCACTACAATTGTTTACACATTTGGAACAATGTGGATAGAAGAATCAATGGCCGAGCTAAAAAATGTTGGGTCCATCAATCTTCCGACAAGAAACATCTGGAAAGCTACTAAATTTTAAGAGGTCGGAGCCGCCAAAAACCCAAAGTTCTGAAACTAAAAACCCTCAGAACTCTGTTTTGTTCTTCAGAAATTCCACAGAAACGAATCCTGATGAGTGGTCATGGCGTCAAAATTCTCATCTCCATAATCAAAACAAGGAGCTGTAGAAGAATTGAATATTTCATCTAGAAACGGGTTATACTCGGGCAGAAAAGACCCGAATTCCGACCCGTAATTCTCCGGTCCCAATCCCATGTTGGCGTGAAAATCCAAAAACGACGATATTTCATCACACTCTGTTACGGCGGTTGTTAATTCCGAAGCTACCGACGGCGACGGCGAATCGACGATGGGTTGGGAATATTCCGTTGAGGGAGATGGGTCGGAGTTGGCGAATTGGGCGGCGACGGTTTGAATCTCCGCTCGGGAAAGCAGAGTAGCACCGGGAATATCCGGTGGGTTATTAGGGAAATTGAAGCGAGCGGAGCTGCCACGTAGACAAAAAAGGGCGGCGTCGAAAGCACGCGCCGCCTTTTCGGCGGAATCATAGGAGCCTAACCAGATCCGTTCGCGGCTATTGGGGAGACGAATTTCAGAGACGAATTTGCCCCATTTCCGGCGGCGGACGCCTTTGTAGCGGGAATCCGTGTTGTGGGCGGCGGATTTGTGAGGGGAGGAGGGCTTGGCCATATAAGAAGGTGGTGGGTGTGTGCGTGTGTGGCGGCGGCGGCGGCGGTGGGGAATGGTGGCGGAATTGTGTGAGGTATGAGTGAGGATATTGCGGCTGAATGGAGTGGTATAAATATGGGGAAGAAAGAGGGAGGAAATGTGCGGACTTGGACTGAAGGGGGAGGCGCGTTGAAGGGAAACCAGCAGACCGCGTGGGCGTGGGTACACCTTTCAAGACGGATGACGCGGGTTCAGCGGATCAGCTTTGGGGTTTGGCCGTTCGTGATTCTGATTTTACACGTGCTTTAAATCATCTCTCCCGTACCGTGCCAATCGAGTTAACTATCTAATTAACTCATGTCCGTTTAATTTATAGGGTCGGGATCCTTAAACGACTGGGATTGGAGTGAAAATTTCTCGTTTCAATGAAAATTTGAATAAGGCGTGTAAAGATGGGAACGGAAATAAATGGAGAATTTCACGTCCTCACCTTGTCCCGTAGACATCTCTATTTTAAAAAGATATTGTCTGTTAGACGAACACAACTCTTCGCAAATACGATGACATTGTCCACTTTGAGCATAAGCTGTTTATGGCTTTGCTTTTAGCTTCTTCAAAAAGCCTCACACCAATGGAGAGTATATTCGTTGATTATCAATACATGATCATTCTCTAAATTAGTCAATGTAGAACTTTCATCATCGAACATCGTCTTAGTTTGGAAAGCTTGGGCAACGGTTTGAGCGCTCGCTTCGAGTAGGTCAATAATTAAAATCGAGTTTTAAATACAAATAAATATATAAATATTTTGAAAGTTTAATAATAAAAAATTATTTTTTTAAAGTAAATATATTGTGTGTATTAGAATCATATTATATAATTGAAATTTTTTTTATTAACATGTAGAAGCCAAGTGTATATTAGCTCACGTGTTGGATTTAAAATGAATTTTAAAAGAAAAGAAAAAGAAAAAGAAAAGAATGTTCAATGGACATAAAATAATAAAAGGCACGTGCTTTAAATAAAAGTTGGTATGGGTATATTGGTCATAATTAAATTTCAACCAAGAATTTTCTCTGTTTTTTTTTCTTCCAAAGTTTGTATTTAAATCTTTTATTTAAAGTTTTTTTTTTTTACTAATTTAATTTTTTTAGATAAATTAGAATATTTAATTTTTTTGGTCAATGGATGAATTTTGGTCAAGAAAAGAATCTTAGAGATTTGAAGACAAAACATGAGAAAGAAGAGGTCAAAGTCCATTGTGACCGACCCAGATTGACTAACCTAAATGACGATGTTTGGCTAACCCACGTAGGTCTCGACTAAAGCTTAGTAGTTATTCTGTATATGGCTTGGTCCAGTTCATATTATTTAAGATGAAGTCGATTTGACGATCTAAATTAAGAGTTATGGTTAGTTCATAAAAGATGCATGAGAAACCAATAGTAAAAAATATTGAAAGTCATTTAGAACAAGATTGAGTAACAATGGAACCTTTGTTCAGCACGTCTCCATAACTTACAAGCCCATTTTGAATAAAAATATAAATAAAAAAAATTCTAAAAATCATGTTAAACAGTGGTTAATAAGCACACAGTCACGGACCATAGGAAAAATAGACTCGAATGAGCCGGCACTTCCGGCATCCGGTTTTTGTACTAGGGAACACGTGGACAATTTTTTTGAATAAAAAATTATAATAGCCACGTGTTTTATATGTATTTATTATTATTTTTTTATTTTTTAAAATAGGTCAACGTCTCAAGTGAGCTGAAAAGTAAATTTGTCACTGGTCGATTTTGGAGGCTTCAAATTTCGAACAGTAATTAAAAAGACAAGACGAAAGTAAATAAAATAAAAGATAAAAAAACAGGTAAAATTTAAATTAAATCACACCAAACTAACACGGTAATTAAAACACAAATCAAAATATAGTGATAAACAGACGAACTGATATATCAGAACCATCACTGATGTGACTGTACAGCTCTCGAACGAACGACTGGTTTGGTTCAAGTGTGCTCAAGAATGCCCCAAGAATAGGGACCACACCTCCTAGAAATGGCTAGGAACCCTTTTGATCATTGATAAATGGGCTTTTCTTTAAATAGAAAAGCCCACTAAGCTGAAGATTTGTTCTAAACGCTCCTCCATGGGCTCACGAGTTCGACTCTGACTCAATGAATTTCTAAACGTATTAAAAATAGAATTGAAAGTTTAAAAATTTATTAAATATAAAAAGTAAATTTAAATGTTTGACTTTTTTTTTATAAATATTTAAAATTAGTTTGTTAAATAAAAAAGATACTGGTCTATTTCAACTAGACAATTATCAACGAAAGAAATAACTATGCACTGTGTTTTAAATAACTTGACATGATTCAAATCGGACGATTAATCGCGTCTAAAAATTTGATAGAACTGGAAAATACACCAAATAATTTAATGAATCAAATTTTTATATGCTGATAGATTACGTAAAATATATCTCCACCGTCCATACAAAATACTCGAGCCCGAGCTTTATTAGAAACATTTATGAACATAGAATTAGGTCATAAAAAAGGAACCACAACCATGTAAAATGATAGCAAGGACTTAGGTAAATAGGCGAGCGAAAGCCACGGCCGGTGGGAGTTGGTGGACCGACGGGCCCACCCAATTGGATAGGAAATGCTTGGCCAATAATCAAAATAAGATAAATATAATACTATAAAATTATTATTTTTTAAAATATTTTTAGAAAAATAAAAAATTTGAAAATAATCTATAAAGGGTGTGTGTGTATATATATACCCCAAATTTAACTAAAAACAAGCGAGATAAGAGTGTTTTGTGAACCCGAACATATCTCGACAAAAGTATATAGCATCAATCAGGAAGTCTGATGTTCGAAATTTCTACCACAAATAATATTAATTAAACACGAGAGAAATAAGGTGTGATGTCCCACATTGGTTGGGGAGGAGAACAAATCACCATTTAGAAGGGTGTGGAAACCTTCCCCTAGCAGACGTGTTTTAAAGCCTTGAGGGGAAGCCCGAAAGGGAAATCTCAAAGACGACAATATCTGCTAGTGGTGGATCTGGGCCGTTACCAATGGTATCAGAGCCAGTCAACGGACGATGTGCCGGCCTTCTCGCTGTTCCCCGAAGGGGGGTAGACACGAGGCGGTGTGCCAGTAAGGACGCTGGGCCCTAAAGGGGGGTGGATTTGGGGGCGATCCCACGTCGATTGGATAAAGGAACGAGTGCCAGCGAGGACGCTAGGCCCCGAAGGGGGGTGGATTGTGATGTCCCACATTGGTTGGGGAGGAGAACAAATCACATTTTATAAGAGTGTGGAAACCTTCCCCTATTAGACACGGTTTGAAGTCTTAAGGGGAAGTCCAAAAGGGAAAGCTCTGCTAGCGGTGGATCTGGGCCCTTACATAAGGGGCTTTTGCGCCTACGTGAACATCTTTCACATCTTCGTAACCTGAAATGGCAAATGGCTAGGGAGAGGAAAGGTTCCTTTTTTTAGGGTACCCCTGGGAACAGATCCAGTGGAGACGGGGTGGGGCCTGTAGCTCAGAGGATTAGAGCACGTGGCTACGAACCATGGTGTCAAGGGTTCGAATCCCTCCTCGCCCACAACCGGCCAAAAAGGCTACGTCTTCTGTTTACGCGCTACTAAGCCGGCACCGAGCTTCAATTAGGAAGTACAAGATTCGAATTCTTCACCACAAATAATGTTAATTAAAAACGAGAGAGTTTAGGGTAAAAATTCGTTAGTGTTGGATTAAAAGTTGATGTCGTGATGACCTAAAATAACGTGACGATAGCTTTTGAAGCATTTATAAAAGATAAAGAGTATTAGGAATGTACAAATAATTTAACTATAAAACATTAATTTAAGGTTTTTTCAGTTCATAATGTTATTACATTTTTAGTAAAATTGAGATTTAAATAGAATTAAAACTAATTAAGGGCAAATATTAAATTTCACAAAATTAAGAACTGAATTGAGAATTAACCAATAGATTAAGGACCAGTTTTTTTAGATTACTAGGGTACAAAATATAATTATAATTATTTAAATTAACCGAGTATAAGACTTATTTTTCCAATAACTATAATTAATTAATTATACTTGTAATTAATTTGGATGATTTAATTCATTATTAACTATCATAATTATAAAATATTTTTGAAATATTATTTATTCACTTTCATTATTAACATGTCATGTTGTTTAATTACCTAAATTAATTCAACGACATTTATTAAAAATATTATTAATTTTTTTTATTAATTAAATTAACTAAGATATGAGAACTGATGTGATTTTATAACAAAACACTACCAAATTCAATTAGCTAATCAATTATTAATATGACTTAAGCACGATTAAATTTTGCTTAATTATTAATCAGCACCATTTAATAATAAATTTTGATAATGTTTTACATTAATAATGGTCCTGGTAATAAAAACTATATTAAATAAAAATAAAATAAAATAAAAATTATATTATATTTATTTAGTTGATACAATTTGATTTTAATAATTCTCATAGTTTGTATCGATAATTAACCTTCCAATAATTTTTAAAAATTAGGGTTATTTTAACTAAAAATTACACTACCATATAATCAATATATTTTAATCAATTAGAAATATAAAAGAAGTGTTTTACAATTTTTCTTCCAAATTCATTTGATTTATAATAAATAACCTTCTATTTCTGTTCACATTACTTGCTATGTAAAGATATTAATAAATAAATAAATAAATAACTAAGACAACGTGTAACGGCCCATATCCACCGCCAACAGATATTATCTTATTTGGGCCCTTATCCACCGCTAGCAGATATTGTTTTTGTTTTGGGTTTTCCCTTAAGGCTTTAAAATGCGTCTGCTAGGAGAAGGTTTCCACGCCCTTATAAATGGTGGGAGATCCTCTTTGGGCTTTCCCAATTAAGACAACGTGTCACCGCCAGATATTATCCTCTTTGGGCTTTCCCTCGAGGCTTTAAAACGCGTCTGCTAGGGGTAAAACGCGTCTGTTAGGGGAAGGAGGTTTCCACACCCTTGTAAATGGTGGTTTGTTCTCCTTCCAA